GTTTTGGCAGTGTTCAGTCCGGATTGATTTCTGATTTATTGTACTTAAAATTGGCACCAAATGAAACAAAATGCATCCAGCAGGTTACCAGGATGTCAATCAGCAATTATCATATAAGCATCCATGGTAGTGAATCCCTCTCTCTCTTATCAGTGGAAAACTTAGCCTCTTTCATATTCTATGTTTATATGTGCATTAACTGACATGCTTATATTATACATAAGCATAAGGTATATTTAACCATATATAAGACCATTCCAAAACCAAAATTTCAACAGTTACTATACCAGCATCACTGTAACTTTCATTTTGATTGAAGTATTTTCTCTTTTTATTCAAAGGTTTGCTTGATGGTCATGTTTAATTGATAAGCATATGCAAATCGGAGAAACCTTTTAAACACACATGCTGGTTGACTGATATGATTTCAACTTCATTTTACAAAACAAAGGCATTTTAAGGAGCAAGTGGGCTCTGCACAAAAGGTTGGCGTGACATTTCTTCATTCTCCAAACTAATTGTTTTAAAGACCTTCCCACGGCCCACCGCTGGCATCTCCCACGCTGTTGACATTAATGCCAGTAATTCATTAATTTGTTCATTATCTCCATTTCATCTGGCAGTATCCATCCAACTTCATTGCATCACACTGAGGGCTTTACCCGTCCTTATCCTACAGATGAGAACTTCCAACTCTTCAAGGCTTATCTTCGGCACAGAGTTCTGTGTAGCCTCGCTTCTCCCTACTTCCTTCTCTGTCTCCCTCTTTTCCCTTTACATCTCACTTTGGGTTTGACCTCCCACCCCATCCTTCACGCTCGCCCTGGTTCTCTGTCCACGTGCCCCTGTGTGCACACCCCTGTGTCGACACACGTCCACACACCTAGAAGCTGGAGCTGTGTCACTGACTGAATGGGCCGGGATGCTTGGAGAGGAGAAAGCTGGCAGAGGCTGAGTGAAACGGCGAGGCCCGGCGGCATCTGCAGGGTGGAACAGGACAGTTTCTGGAGAGGCGGCGCGTAGGAAAATTGAAGAGCTATTTTCACGCCACATTAAGTTACACCAGCCTTCCACTATGGAAATACGCTCATATAGTTGAGCCAGGCCTCTGTGGTGGAGGCTAATAATCAACACAATGGACTTATTACCTAACGCCGCATTTCGTAGGCCTGAGCTCGAGAGCATCGAAAAAGGGAAAAAGGGGGAGGAGGGACAGACATGAATACCAATGGATGTAAGAAACGCTGCTACCTCCAGTTCGGCTTCATTCATTTTATTTGCATCAAGTTTAATTGAACCCAAATGGATATCTGGTTGAAAGGGATCAAAGCTGTGGGGATATTTCCTGAAAAAGGAGCAAAATTATTGTAAAAATGGGCACTTCTACAGCTACATCTTTTATGTGTGTCCCTTTCAATATTGGGGCATTATAGGTTGGTATTCAGCGTCTTCATCGTTAGATATTCTATTATTCACAAGACTGTAACCACATTCCACTGCTGTCACTTGAGGCCACATCACAGAGAAATGCTAAGCCCCCTGTCGGATCTACCACTTCTATGCCGGATAAATACATTAGCTATACAGCATCTGAGAGCTGACATTTTCAGAGGCAGTGTGAGCAGGACTGATATCCAAAGTATTATAATTCTTACCATCAGACGCCTGCCTACATCCAACAATTTCTAGAGAACAGATGATTGTATCAATATTTTTGTCTGACAGAAGCAAATCCTCCTCATGTTAAGCAGGTTAAATACATTGAGCATCTGGACAGTTGTTTTTGTTGTTGTTGTTGTTTATGGTTAACGATAATGACCTACAACACTTTTTAAGATCATCCAGTCTTCAAAAGTACAATAAGAAGCTCAAATGTTTGTGTATTCACTCCATCTTTATCATGTACATTTTGTACACATGTGCATGCTGCAGAAAGTTTCTAAACTGATGCTGCTGATAGTTTTGTGTGTGAGAGAAAAGCTCTAAACGAACATTTAGGCAACAATTATCCGAGATTCAGTGACTATTATCCATTTAAAGTGGCTTTGAAACTTTTGACATGATGACATTTACTCCCAGCAAACTCACAAACTCAGAAATATTATTCTAAATGGTTGCTATAAATATACACAGCTTTTGGATACCTGGCTTTGGCCTTCTTTGTCAGCATCAAAATGAAATGCAAAAACGATCAGGCTGTGATAATTCTGCCCTCACTGCATGCCACTGTCACCTGTTAAAGGGCGCAAAGGAGTAGTGGTTTAGGCTGGAAAAAAAGGCAGCAGAGTAAAGTGAAAAGTAACATAATTTAGAATTGCAGTATCTATGAATTCATAGTAATGTAACAACAAAATAAGGTTATGACTGTATGCAGTGACAATAAGAACTATCTGGTCTCTACAGGGCAACAAAATCAACATTTTGGATACCTTGTGAGCTTTTTTTGGGTGTATCACTAAATATTTGGAGAGACTAACTACCATCCTGATCACAGCTCATGATATACTTTTAAAAGCGAGCTCAGAAACCAGAGGATGGCTGTGGGAATCAAAACCGTGCCTACATTTCCTTTTAACTTGTGCTAGATCTTCAAAGGCACCTGAAATCCATGTGATCAGACAGACTGAAAGAGAAAACACGAAAGGTGTGAATCAATTTGAAACACATCAAAGTGTGAAGGATTAACCAGCACCAAAAACTGCATGATCAGTTTTTTTTCTTTACTTGTACGAAAATATACAATAAGTGGGTTGCAAATTCAGAGAAGAATCAGACATTTTGGTGAGAAACAGTAGAGACCATAGTGATTGATTGCAAAGAGTCTTTATTTGATTTATTCAGGATTTTTTTTCTTTTTCTTTTTTTTTACCTTGTGTTCAAGTACGGTCCTCTCTCAGCAGGGTCATCTAAGAAGCATGGACACACAATAACACACAACTCGCACCAGAGCCTGAGCATCTTCAAGTGGGACTTCTGTTTTGTCTTGATTGTGGCGGTGGTGGGAGGGGGGGGGGGACCCCGATCAACAGTTTTAATGCTTGGATCAAGTGAACAAGAGTCCTGTTGAACACCACTTAATCTTTTTTTTTTCTGCGAACATTTGCATTTAGTGACACTGACATCAGCACATAAAAATCATATATGTATATTTATATATTTATATATATCATCATATATTTATATTCATGTATTTATAAATTTGTCATTCTATATCAACAATTATTTCTAGTGATTTTTACCTTGATTTTTCATGTTTTGAGACTGGACAAACTGTCAGTAGGAATGCGTTGTCTGGACATTGAGTTACACAAGAACGCTCACACACATACACGCAACGGAGGCATACAAACGCAACTACACACATGCATGCAAAGTCCACACACGCAGTTCTGTCGCACACATGCATGTATACACAGCCACGCGCGCGCTCACACACACACACACACACACACACAAACACGCCACGCCCACACGTTCTCGACCTACTCAGAGAGGCAGGCCTGTACATCTGTGGGGGGAGAAGTTACCCATGATCCCCAGCAATAAGTACAGCTTCACCTGATTGGAACAGAAGAAAATAAAAGTCACAAAGAGCAGAGGGAGTCATCAAGTCATTGTCTGTAAACGTCAACAGAATTTCCCCTTCGTGTCCTCTAGGACTGGTCCTCAGTGTGTCAAAGTTTGGCACAATGTATTTTGTCTTTTTTCTCCCCTGTGAGGAGACATGTGTTACACCCATGGCAAACTTTGTTGAACGGACGAGTTATTATGCAAAAGTGACGATGACAAACTGTGCTGACATGGTCAAACATATATTATCCCTAAGGTTAAAGAACAACCTCTTCCAAAGATACAGAGTGTGCTTCAAACTAATTCTTTTAGGCAGTGAAAAAGCACTTTCTGGTAAATTTGATGCACTTGCAGCTTTAAGCTGTTCTTGATGTTTGATTATGTCCATGTTAAAATTCATTTGATAGGGGGTTTCGAAACAAAACAAAAACAAAACTTCTTCTTCTCAGGCTGGGAAAGGGAGCAATTTAAATGTCCCCCAGCATCCAGCCTGATGATGTCTGCCTTGTCTGATACTTTCACGTTACACTTTGAGTGTTTTTTGTTGCTTCAGTCAGTAATTAGCCAAGGAAAAGGAAATGTTCTTATAGGTAGCCCATCAAAAACGTGTAATATACACACAGCATCACCTTTTAACTGTACACAGAAAAATAAAAATGTGCTTCGAAAGTCGAAATTTAGAAAAGTACAAATAAAAATGTGAAAGAACGATGACAAAAAGGAGTCTCTTGAAGACGACATTCTTTAACAACAAATTCAGAAGCTTCTAGAGGTGCCAAGGCCATTGCAACAAAAAAAGAGGGATAAAAAGCAGTGCTACGTTTGTCACTTTGGTGAAACGATAAACGTCCATTTCTTGCCTTGTGTCTGGTGTGCTTTCAACTTTCTCTGTGCTTTTATGCTTACTGTCCTCTTTAAGAACCCGCACACCACCTTCCCTGGTCCCAGCTTTTCTCCTCTGTCTTTAGCAGGTCTGGCCATGTCTTGCCCCAACCGAGTGAAAACTTTAACTCACCTATTATTATTATTATTTTTTTCTATCGCTCTCCTTCACTCAAAGCTTTCTCACTCCCTGGGCACAAATTTCCAAGAACTGACTTCACCTAGCTCCTCTTGAAAATTAAATGGAGCCGACTTTGGAAAGGAAAATAAAAATAAAAGGAGTCTTGAAACAAAAGGAAAATGTTCGCATGCACATGCACGGTCTCTTTGACACTCTGCCTGACGTCACTTCTTAAACCTTATCTAGCTCTGCCCTAGTTACCTTTAAGAACACAAATTTACCGCCGCTTTCAGCAAGACTTCTTTGTCAGAACACTGCTTACTGTCATGTTTAATCTGCAATGTTTGTCTCTTGCAAAAATAATCCCTTTCACACAAACACACACAGATCCCCTTTGCCCCCTGTCCCCGCCATTACTTCAGTGGACCTAGACCCAGGAATCGGGCGAGGCTGGGTAGTGGCTGGTCTCATAGTTCAGTTCACTGTACGGCCGGGAGGCCGAGTAGAAGTCTACGTAGTTGCCGGTGGATTTCAGGCCCAGGTGCATTCGCAGATCCTCCCGCGGATCCCGTGGCGGTCCGGTGGAGTTGGGAGGCTGCTGGGGTTGGGCCTGAGGCGGGAGCTGGGGCTGGGGAGGCTGAGGCGGTGGTCCCTGGTCCTCGTAGTAGATCTCATCGAAACTCCGGCTCTGGCTGTGCGGGGGAGGCTGCGGCGGCTGCGGCTGGGGGAAGGAAGGAGGGGGAGGGTAGGGGTCGTAGTCTTTTAGCACGGCTGCTGACGAGCTGTCCTGCTGGGGCTGAGGGGGCACAACGCAGGGCTGGGCTGGACTCTGGTCAGGGAACGGGTGAATGCGGCAGGGTGAAGGTGAGGAACGGCATGGAAGGATAACAAAGGGGGGTAGTTGGCACAGAAGGATAAGGGGGGGAACGAGGTGAAGATGTGTTCATGGAAAGGAAAGTGACAGGTAAAGAGTGAACATAACAGGGCAAAGGTTTTGAAAGGAAGGCATTATGTGTAACAGAACTCAGATAGGAACCAGTTGGGTAGGTGTCCATGCTGTGAATTGTCCATTACAGGCAAGCGGTAGGGGAAACTCTTATCAAATACTGTAACTCACATAAGGTAGTTATGTGTGTGTGAGTGAGTGCGTGTGTGTTGTGGAATCAACGAGAAAAAAAAACAACCCTTGCCTACACAATCATTGCCTTTGTTCAGTTCGGTTTCACCCCCAGTGGTGAAATTTGAATGAACTAAAACTTTTCTTTGAACATTAGTTCAACAGATCAGACCGAATTTTCAGTCTGCTCAAGTCAAAGGCTGCAACTCTGTCATTTCCCAGTCTTCCCGAGCAGAGACATTAAGCAGAGGCAAATAATTAGCACAATCATCCAGGGTAACGGCTTTAATTGCTAGTCACCTGCCGTAGCTCCGGGTTGCGTTAGTCTGATGCATGCCTGGCTGAGGGTGTGCATTCTTCACATGTTCTGTCGAGGCAGCTCTTATCACAGTGAGACACCTATGTATGCATCTGCTGTGCCTCTTCCATCCTGCTGCTATCTCCGCTGATAACCACCTCGTTATAACAGCGTACGCCGGCTCATGGTGAGCCATGGTGGAACATATGCTTTGCTGACACACTTGTATAGAAAGAAAAAATATTGCCTTAAAGAAAGCTCACCTGGCTCTGCTTGATGTCATCAGTAGCGGTCAGGTAGGAGTTCCGGAACAATGTGGAGGTCCCACATGACACTTGGACTTTATAGATAAAAAATGAGAGAAGGACAATATATATATACATATCAATGATAGGCAGCTACTGATAACACCCCAAATTTATCTTATTAAAAAAGATAACTGAATAAAGTTTTTATAAACTAATTAGAAATGAAATCTGTTTGAAAATTTGACAAAAAGTCTGAAAAGTCAGGCAGAAATGTCTTTGCCTCATGACAAGATTGTGAGTGACTAGAAAATGGAGTGAAAAACGGGTTAAAAAAGGGTGAAAATCTAGAAAAATGTAACTTTATCTGTCCAAACACACAAATACACGCTCACACACAGACACACACACAGACATACACACACACACCTGCCATGCCGTCTTTCCGGGATGTGTGCTCTCCTTTGTTGCTATGGAAACCTGCGTTGGTTGCCGTGGAATCATAGTCCATCTTGCGTTCCTTCAGACTCATCATCTCTCTGGGGGAGGCTGGAGCGCTGGCTACACGTGCATGTGCGCACACACAAACACACACACACAATAATGAGCAATAAAACCCACAAGAGCATGCACTCTCACACGCTGCCTGCTCGTGTTCGTGTGTCTCGGCCCTTCAAGGTGCACAGCCATTATTCATCATTTAGCTTGTCAGCAGAAAGGGTCACCTCCAGCATGTTAAAAAACATTTGGGAATTCACGCTCTCGTGTTTTTGGACAAATTATTTGAATATGAAATCTTGAATTTGTTTTATGCTGCCTTAGTTCACAGACATTTTCTTTGTCTTCAGGCATCAAAAGACTAAGCTGAATATCCAGTTGGGAACCTAACAAAAATCTGAGATGAAACAAAAAATGCTTTGCAACCTTACAGTTTAACACTTGAACTGTAATGGTAAGCATAATGCTATCACAGAAACAGGTGTTGCTTTCTCCAAAGGTGACCTTATTTGAACCACATCATGGCAGCACAGAACCATGCCCCACATCCTAGCACAGATAAAGCTCTCAGGCAGCAAATTAAAACTCAAACACATGAATGCATGACATTTGAAATATGCAGAATCCAAATCAAGCATATAGAAATGTTATTTATCATTAAATATGAGATACATTATGATCATTTCCCCATGCATTTCTGTGTACAGCCCTACATGACAAAAAGTGGATCTGTTATATAGTCTTGTATATCCTGGGCTCCATCTTTTCCATTTACATACAACCTGAAAAGTCCCTATAGCAAACACTGTATTAGCCCCTTTAGTCTGTTTAGCATTATTTTTTTTTCCAACTAATAATGTAACATATTATTCGGTATCCTTATAAATGAAAGGAATTCTGATAAACTGAATAGTCCTTAAAATAAACTGTGGATGATCTAAAAGGTACACAATAAATATGTGAATACATAAAGTAAAGAGTAGAGTACTTTTTTCTCAGAAAAAAATCTCATGTTGGCAAACATAATTAATATATTCAACAACTTAGATAAAATTAGGTTTCTCAATTTAGATTTGTAGAATGTTGGAATGTCAGCTATATTATGTATGGGCGAAAAAACTATTACATGATTTTTTTTTGTCATTTGTTTAATTTTTTTATTGCCCACCTCTGTATCATATTCAATTAAGGCGGAGTCCCAAACATGTCTGGCTGAGGCAGAGTCAAGGCTGTCACCACTGGTTACAGTTACTTGGGGGACCAGGCTTATAACTGCTGGATATGACAGCCCGGGAGACTCATTCTATCAACATAAAACACAGCAAGAACCCTGGAGGCCATGATGGATCTAAAGGTCTCGCACCCCCCCCCTCTCTGATATTCCCTCTGTCCTTCTCTTTCAGCCTCTCAGCTCAGCTCCTCTTTTGTGGTTTATCGTTCTCTCCTCCCCAAGTCTTTTGCCCCTTTTTCTCTCAATGAGATTGCACACAAAAATCCCCCCCTGCAATGTGATCCATTTGCGAGGAGTCAGATTGCGTTACGAGACATATGCAAAGGGAGATACAGATGTCTGGATTGTGTGACTGGGGTGGGTCTGTAGACGGTGAGAAACCAAGAAGACAGAGGAGGAAAAAGGACAACTGCAGGGTTACAAACAGGAGTAACTGGACAAGAATAAATGGCAAGGTGCAGAAATGCACTAAAGCTAAGGGGGGGGGGGGTTCAAAGGAGATGAAGCAGGAAGCTTCACCCATTTTGCATTTTACCTTAACCCCTCCACAGTGCCACAAACTGTGCATGAAGGTCTCACAACTACTTACGTCAATGTCGATTGCCAAAGTCAGACTCCCTGCATTAACCATCCCTTATTTCCTAATTCTTTTATGCCTCCCTGTCGTTTCGTTTTTTTTTTATCTCCCTCCCTGTTTATCGCATCCTTGCCTCTGTCTCTCTTTCCTCACACACACACACACACAAAATCACGCTTTTCTCCCACTCCCTTCCCCTGCCTCTCTTTTAGCAGCATCCCGGAGACCTCGCTAAGCCGAGAGGAAGGAAAAGTACTTTTCTGCCTCATCAGCTTGCTAAGCCTGGTGTGGAGAAAGAACAGCTAAAGGCTCTTCAACTACTGATGCTAACAGCTAATGCTAACGTGTCCTTTGCCAACCATGAAGGCCAATGGGTTTAGGCTAAAGGCTGATGATAATCATTCTTTAAAGCATGAAAGCCAGTGGGCCCCAATCAGGAATTCAAAGGCTATTCTTCTCTAGTCTAAAGACCGACAGACTGGTACATGTTGATGATTTGGACAAAAATATGGAATCCTTGTGTACAATGGCCTTTTGTTCAAACAAAAAAGTTAGAGACAATGCACAAATGCTAGTTATTAGAAACTTGTTTCCTTTAATATTTGTCTGTACTTAGTGCATCCGGATATGGTGGCAACAAGGTGACTCTCTGTCTCAGAGGCAATATGAAAAGGATTTTTTTTGCATGAAACAATTACTGAATAAAATAACTCACACATTTTAATATGAATACCTGAACCAAATCCTACCTCATTATGAAAATAATCCTCCTTCTTAATGAAATATTTAGAGAATTTGGAAAATATGCTTATTGCTTTCTCACCAAGAGATATGCGTGTGAAATATTAAGCTGGAGCCAGGAGCCTTTGGCATAAAGACCGTAAGCTGAGGGAAATAAAAAGCAGATCTCAAAGTCTACCGTAAAACCAACTCTTTGATATGAATATAGACGACTTCAAAATAAAATAAAAAAACACATCCAGCCACAGTAAAATTCAGCCAAAAATCAACATATATAGACAAAATATAGAGATACATTTCTGTAGGGGAGAAATTGATCTGAATTGCTGAGAGTTAAAATTTTTCACATGTTGTTGCACCATGTGTTGCTTACCAGAGCGGTTATTTGGGGATGTCCTGACAGGTGAAACAGAGGGAGTTCTTGAAGAAGAGTATGGCCGCTGCCTGTCTCTCTCTATTGTTGAGGCAGAACCCACAAAGTGATATTGGGTATAACCATCCTGCAAAAACAGCAAGAATGTTAAAATTGTGTTTAGTTAAATATCCAATATATGTCATAAAAATAAACACATTTAAATATTTTCCATAAACACACTTCTTCTATGTTTATTCAAACTGTAAGTTTAAATAAACACAAATTAATTTGGGATTTCACTGGATTGTCAGCAAAAATGCACCATAGAAGCTGAAGGACACTGGCAAATATGTCCACAAATCACGATAAATTCAGACACTTGCATCAAATCTGAGCTTAGTAAACACGCCATGGTCTGTGCTGCAAAAAATTTATACAAATGACTCCACAACCATAATTAATGCCAAGCCCATGACTTTGCATCGGTTTAGCTGTGATTGGAGCAAAGCCCTTTTCATAAAAATGGATTATGAGAGTCAACAACAATCACAGAGCTGGAACCAAATTCAATTTAGCATTAAGATAATTGGGTACGTCAGAAAGCAAAGCACAGGCAGATGATGAAAGATAACGGGGGACGTGTTTCATCACGGCTTTACCGTCTAGAGGCTGCAGCTGAGCATTGGGATGGTGGTAAAGTGTGAGAACATGGGAGAGGTGAATCCCTCCAGTAC